TACAGCATTTTTGGTACCAAGGTGAAATTTTCATGACGAAAATGAGCTATATGCATTAGGCCTCTGGGATTTGAGGAGTTGTTAGTTACTCTAGCCTACATCTATCTTATCCTGACTAATATACCATCTTTAACATATCATATATAAATACCCGCATGCATGTAGTTATGTTTCTAGAGTGTTTACTTGACCTGTTTACCGATTTGCTTCTTTTTGTGCCAATACCTTCCTTTTATTTTGAGTTGATTTTAATACCTAAAAAGGCCAAGGCCTACATCATTATTCCTTTTCAAAATCCTGTTAGCTAGTCTTAAACATTATCATTTTAAGAGGCTTAGAGAATTTTATAAAAGGGACTTTCTTTGAATTCTGAATGCTATCAAATGTTTAGGTTATTTGATTCATAGGTTAATTTAGGAGAATTAACATTTATGCCACATAAAGTCTTCTAGAATTTTTAACGTCTTAACATGTCTATGTTAACTGGAAAGATTTTTTTAGTTTCTTTTTCTGTAGAATGGGATCTCTGTCCACATCACATTTTAAAATCAATTCTTATTGGCGTAGAGGAAATAAATTGATCTCTGTATATTTCTCATGTATGCATCTGTCCTTTTTAAAATAAGCTCACTTAATAGTTCTGAAAAAAAAATGTTTTCCTTTCACTAGGACATGGTCCTAGAGTTATTTCTTAGAGGTTTATCTGGTCTTCTCCTGGATCCATTTCTAGTTACTAGCCTGAGTGTAATTCATTGTATTTCCATCCTTCATGGTTTCTTTTACCATCTGTTCTAGGAAATATACTGTGTCCTATTTAAATTCTCCCTCTATCTCTTGTTCCTGTAAGGCATGTAGCAAATCTGTTTGTGTAATTAAATTCCTGTACTATTATTACTTTATAGACTAATTTTACAGCATTGCTTAGTTTATTTAATATTTCCATATTGGTTTTTACCATTTTCAATAAGAAAACCATTATACATTATTTCTATACCCCATTATTTGAGTTTGCAATCTGTACAACCTTCTCATCGCTCATTGATTTCTCAATGACAAGTCTTGAGTTGCCAATTTTATCAACGTCTTTGCGTGATACTATGTATTAAAAGTTCTACCACTGGAACCAGCAGATAGTGTAATGATTACATTGCTGGACTTCCACACAGCTGACCGTGGTTCCAGTCCCAGGGCCGGCAGCTTGAAATTCATGCCGGCGCGTTTGTGTGCATGCCCAAAATTCTGAGAAAAGAGTGCAAGAAAAGGGACTGTGGTGTGGTCATCCCCCGGGGGGGGGGTGATTTCTTGCTTTCTGTCTCTGTCTCTCTCGGGCGAGTGCATGTGTCCTATAGCAAAAATATCTCTCTCAAAAAAAAGTTTCTACCATTATAAGCTTTTATTTCCCTTGGTAAATTTTCTTGCATCCATTATTCAGGAGTAAAAAGGGTCCAGAGTACAGAAGATAATTATCTGATCCTTATAGGTCTGTTTACATAACTCTCACCATTATTTGAAATTTTTAAAAAAATGCTTTTTTAAGTTTTTGCCATAGGGTGCATGTGCTCACTGGAGAGAGATTGAGAGAGGGAAAGTGAGAAATCACCCTACAGGGTAGATGGCCACACCATAATCCCCTTTGTTCCTGCCCACCCATCCTATACTGAGTACCAGATGTGAGTGCAAAATATTTCAAGTAATTCTAGTCTTAGCCTTCAAATGTCTGCCACTGAATGAAGAAACACAAGCAAAAGCAGTTCAGTTAGTTCTAACCCCAGAATCATGAGAGACAAGCCTTGGGGTGGTTGGTTATATGGCAATAGCTAACCTGAATATATTATAAAGAAAATTTATTTCTTGCCTGTGTGAAGTCCACAGGGAATCTGGGGACCTATTCAAGGTGGTTATTTTCCATGAGACAGCTCAGAAATTTAGGCTCCTTGGGCCCGGTAGATCCAGGCCAGTGATTATCTTGTATCTTGCACCAGTGATTAAATTCTTCAAACTGGAAGCGATACGTACACACATGCCCCTACTGTTTGTAGCCCATTGACTAGAATTATTTACATCACCATGCTTAACTCAACTCCCCTACGGGGTTGGAAAAGAGAGGGGAATTGTATATGCATCTACCACACTCATACCCTCTTCTTATGTGATGTTACTTCATCAGAATCCAAGAGATCCCTTATCCTACTAGGAACCATGGGTTTTGTGTAACCATAGCTGTCCTGCAGTTCAGCCACTGAAAACTACTTAGGTAACCAAAGAAAGCTCTTTCTCTCAGCACTTGCTAACCTTCATAAACTGTACATCCATGCTTTTGATATGAAAATAATTGCACACTGACTTACCTGTTGCTGTATAACAAATTACTTCAGATCTTAGTGGCTTAATACAGCAACACTGTGTATCTCACAGTTTCTTTGGTTAGAGGACCCAGCTAAGCTTTGCTCTTTGGTTCTGGGTCACTCATAAGACTTAGTCATCTCACGAACACTGGAGAAGAATCTGCTTCTAGGTCACTGATGTGGTTGTTTGTAGGATTCTGTTTTTCGGACTGAAGCTTCAGTTCCTTATGAGATGTTGGCTGGAGTCTTCCCTTAGTTTTTTGTCACATGGAAGTCTCCATACAGTCTCAGAGTGAGCAAGCAAAAGGGAAAGATCTTCAGCAACATGGAAGTCCAAGATTTTTGTAGCCCTAACACAGAACTGATATCCTATCATTTTTGTCTTATTTTTTTTTTTAAGTTTATTTAGAAAGAGGGAAGAAGACAAGCACCCCAAACAAGGTAACTCCACCCACTTCCCAGATGATTAGGATTAGGTGCATGCTCCTGGCCTGTACAGTTCTATGGGAGAACCAAACCCATAATCTTCCATATGGATCTAGCTTTGCTTGAATGGCAGTTACACTGTGCCACTGAGCTGGCCTCATTTTCATCATATTCTATTAATTAGAAGTCACTAGTCTCAGCCCATGCTCAAGAGGAAAGGATCACATAAGGGCCTGAAGGTCCAGAGGGAGGGATTTTGAGGCCCTGTCACAAGTTGTCCACCCCCAAGTACTATTATGGGATGAGTATTCTGGAGACACAAAGGTATATAACCTTGACCTTGAGGAGTTTCTAGTAGGGTTGGAGAAGTGAGAGGAGAGAGTATAACTTCTTATAACCACATTACAATGTGAAAGAGAGCTGATAGATTTGATAGAGAAGAGCTATTGGATAGAAGAGGTAGCAGCTCATTCTGCATGGTCTACCAGAGGCACAATGTGAGCTAATGATAAAGGCTGAAATTTGTTTCACCAGGCAACTGAAGAAATGAAGAGGCAATGAGGCACAAAAGTACATGGTGTGCTTGAGGAATGGGGTAGCTTGGTGTTACTGGAGCATAGTGGATCATGGAAATGGTGGACTGTCAGGTGGAAACTGAAGCTGGATTGGGAACATTTCGAATCATACCAAGTCAATGCTAGTCTGGGAAAAACATCTTTAGAAGGAAGCATAACAGAATTTGGTTGCTTTCTAATAATACATAATCATTTTATGTGTCATACCATGCACAAGACATTGGACATATAATCTTCACAGCCACCTTTTGGAGCAGATTCTATTATTACTTGATTTTTTTTTTTTTTTAAACACAGGGTCTTGCTGTTTAGGGATCTACCTGCCTCAGTATCCCAGCAGAATCCCAGTTAGAACTACAGGAATGTGCGGGGACCAGCAGTTGATGTAATGGCTACGCTGCTGGACTCCCATGTAGTTGACCACGGTTTGAGTCCCAGACCTGGTGGCTTAAACTTAAACTCACGCCTGAGAGGAGAATGGAAGAGAAGGGATTGAGGCTGATTTCTCGCTTTCTGTCCTTCTAGCAAGCGTGAGACCCCTGTAGCAAAAAACTCTCCAAAAAAAAAAAAAAAAAGAACTACAGGAATGTGCATCACACCAAACTCTTTTTTTTAGAGAGGATCTTGCCCCAGGTCACCCTTGAGTTCTCAGACTCTCAATCTCTTGATGACAGGTGCACACCACTGTGCCTGGCCTTTAGGTTGGTCCAGAAAGCAAACACAGCCTCCCATGTAGTCCCAGTCAGCCAAGCACATCGTTTTACCAATGTGGCTGGGCCTGTATTCACTTAAACAGATTCTTGGCATTAACTAATTTTAGTACCAAATCTCATGGCTAAAAAGTGTCTGGGCTGGGGCCAGCTGGTGAAAGTGCTGGATCCCACATGGCGGACTCTGCAGTTCAAGTTCTGCCTTGAAAAACACCCTGGGCACATGTGTGAGCATGCCCCAAATCCCAAGATGAGAGTGGAGGCGAAGACATTATGGTGTGGCCATCCTCCAGGGGGTGATTTTTCACTTTTCCTCTCTTTCTCTCTCTCTCTCTCTCCAACAAGTGCACATGCCCTATGGCAAAAAATCTAAAAGAAAAAAAAGAAAGTGGTGTCAGAATTGTGCCACTGAGGTCCAAAGCACAGTCTGACACTCTAGCCTTATCAGTACCTTCTCATGGCGACTTGCTCCCACATATTCTTGCTATATTTCCTTCTATCTCCCTCAGTTCGAAGGCCAAGAAATGCTATCCTTGAATACACCATTGTTGTTAGAGATAGGAATGGTTTCAGTCATGAGTTTCTTTTGTGTCTCAGCATCCCTCCCCTGTTTTATAACTTCTGTAAATTTTCTAACATACACAAAAGTAAGTCAAAATAACAAAATGAACCCAGTTTTAACATGTCTGATATTGTGCCACTCTCATTTCACCCATCACCCCTCCATTCCACATACTTTATTTCAAGAGTATTTTAAAACAAACTCTAGAAGTTGTATTCTTCTCACCCATAAATACTTCACTATCTGTATGTAACCAATACTTTAAAAATATAATCGTAATGTCTATCACACATAACAAAATAGTAATTTCTTAATCTCATTTGCTATTTTAAGAACTTTTTAAATCAATAACACACCCTATAGAAAAAAGCTGCACTGAAAAGAATGATAGAATTCCTACTTACGAATAATTTCTTTTAAGAAACACAGTAAACAATATGCCATCTAATGTATATAATATTGATGTGTATATAATAGCAGTGACTCTTGGTAACATTGACTGCAAAGATATTTTCCTAATTTACAATAGTTTGTAAACTTTTGAGTTTTATATTTTAATGATAAGGGCTAGGTCCTCATAGTTTTTAGCTACTAATTAACACCTAATCAAGCAAGATCACTGTAGGCAAAGTTAATCCTTCTACAAGTACTGATTAAAGGTTAGTCTCATGTGACCTGAAGCATTTAGTTATATAGCTGTGTGCTCTAAACCTAGGAGAAAAAAATGCATGTTTTCCTTGACTTATTAACCATATTACCCAATTTCTTGCTTCATACACCTAGTTTGCTTTCGAACACACTTTGAAAAAGCTCACCCACCCTCTAACAGTAATTCAGCCTTACATACTAATGGTGCCCTGGTCCCAAGGTACAGATTCATCTAACGTGTATCTGCAAAAGAAATGTGGAAATCACTTAAGACTGCTCTCATTTTAGATATGACAAAACTATAGGGGAGAAAAACGTGAGGTCTATTAGAGTGCAATTGCCTATTCTTATTAATGACTCATTTTATTTTAGTGCCCACGTTTGCAGAGTTTCTGAAATTAAGATTATTTTTATTAAAAAAAAAAAAATGCATAGCCAGTTGCACCTTATCTCCAATTTGGCAGTGAGGCTTCAATACACATAAGCAATCCTTAAATTTTCCTCGTTTCTCAGCAAAGATCTCCGCCGTGGCCCTCCATTTTTCATTAAATCTAAATCTACTGTGCAGTCCGCGGCTACCATCGAAGAGGGGGTGGATTATTTTAAATAACCGACCGTGTTTGTCTTTAGGAAAAACCGCACGCGCCAATCGCCCCCGCCCTCGGGGTTGCGCCCAACGCCGCGGTGCTCCCACTAACTTAAGCAGCATTGGGTCATCTGTTTATTGTCAGGGCGGCGGTTAGGAAGAAAGGGCGGCTGTTGTTAAGGCAACCGACACCCCGGGCAACGGCAAGGCAAGGCGGGAGGGGGCGTGGCCAAGACGCGTTGGGTGATAAGAGGCGGCGCGGGCTGCGCGCGTCCCGGGCAGGGCCTGTTTGCGGCCGGGCGGAGGCGGGGTCGCCTGGCACCTCGTCAGACCGCCTTGAAAGGCCAGGTCGGGCGGGCGAGGGAGGCCGCGGGCCGGCCGCTCCCTGCCCTCACACCCATTGCCCGAGAGCCTAGCTCCGCGCCCCAATATGGCGGGCGGGCGTTGCGGCCCGCTGCTG